CCAAGCTTCAACGATGTTGCCAAATAATGACTGTACATAATGACGTGGACAAAAGAATTTATCAAACCTATGAAAAAAAAAATGGTATAAATTAATGAAGTCGTTTGATTAATCCATTTCCATTGCTTGAGAGGACAATAGTAAATGATATTGACCTAAAAATGTAACGTGGCCGCCTGGTAGATACTTGACACCACCCCAGGCACCCATTACCATTCCCGTGTGATGATAAACATGAAGAAATGATACTTGATTTTGTTTCTTCCTAAGAACAAAAAACACTGTGTCGAGTAGATCTACTATTTTTACCATGAAATATAACCATACTGATGCTGCTATCTGAAACGATAAATTAGTAAATTAAAGGATATGGATTGCATTATTCAGATTGTGTTTCGATGCATTTGAAAACTTGGTGACATGATTCGTCCATTATTTAAAATTGTAATGATTGAATTATAAATGATAATCAATTCATCGTACCGCTATTGCGTCTGGATTATCTGTGTAATCAACGGGTTCACACACAAAACTATAACTTTTTAGCCACGCTAACGTCAATGCCTGAAAAATATACAAACACTTGTTTCTTTATTTCAATAATGTTGAAGAATCTTGCTGATAAATTATGAAAATTTTTAAGTTACCCGATACACGAGGTAGGCACTGGCAAGAATCTGCACAACATTGTACACTTGTAAAATTCTGTCTAAGTTGAATGGTTTTCTGTTGGCCATAAGTCTTGGACCAAGAGTGAACACAAAGTATAGGTAAAATCCAAGAATAGCGAGACCAGGCCATGGTGTCGCTATCAGGAACCAGTCTTTCGTTCTGGGATCTATGCAATTGAAAAATTTCACTAAATGCCATTTTTCTATCGAGTGGATTCATTTTCTGGTAACCTTGACTTACCTGAAACTTCGTCATTGATGTAATGATACAATCGTAAAAGCGATTTAATAATGGTCGCCATGCTCTTCTCACTGAATTAACCACTATTTTAAAACTCACTCCTGTATATCTAGGTAATGTCATATAATTACTGAACCAATTTTAAAACAAATCTAATTTTAATATTTCGTTTACTGCAGTTATAGTTTCACATGGGTTATGTGTTGTATACTATGCTATTTACTGATGGATCACTTGAAGAGAAATAAATATGTTTGAAAATCGAGGGGAAAAAAACGGAAGTTCCACCAACCCACCCATCCACAGCTGAGCACCGATTTGGACTGATCAGAAGTTTTTACCGCCGTTAAAAAGTATAACCATTGTATTATAATTATCGGATTGTATTCATGTATGTGTGTTCATTGGGACTAGCTGAACGTTCGGAAAAGAAAAATGAGGGACAGAAGTCGAAGTCATCGACAACACAGGGAGCACGAGTTTAACAAGCAACGGCCTGACTAGCGTCCGGTGTAATAATTAATACAAGGAGGAAGGTATGTATCTGGTTTATATTTGAATGGGCTTTAAAATGACTGATATTCTGTACAAGTGTGAGTTCTTTTACCTTGACTTTTTATTACTTTGCAAATTTCAAACTTCACTTTGTATCTTCTTAATTCACACCGTGGAAACAAGCTTTTTCAAAAGCGCATCTTTACTTGGGTGAAGAAACTCATACTCGGAAATGTCCGAAAAAACGCAGCAACGTGGCTTGCACTGAGAGGAAAAATTTTAGTCAAAAGATCTCAATTAAGTATACGTGCCAATGCAAAAGATTTTAATCTAGAAGTTATAGCTTATACATTCAAGTCTTTTGCATTTGAGAAAAAAAATGATGAGTAAATTCACTCAGATACATCCAGATTTGAAAAATGATATTGGTATTATGAATTAATAATTACCATTTTGGGAACAAGTGCACGATATTGGGACACCAGTTTTTCTTTTCTTAGAGTAAGGTATGATTTTCTTGTTAATTTTCGAATCAGGAGTTGCTTGATATAAGTAGAAACGTGCTTCTGAAGAAACTTCTCGTCTTTCGGATAAGTACTAAATCCCTTAACTAACGTTTTTTGCTCTCAGTACAAGATATCGTTTAAATAAAAATGTTTGAGTATGCGTTTCATGAAACAGAGATGCACTTCTATTGGTTGAAATTTGTATGGAAATAATAATCATTTTGCAACCATTTCATCAGGGTAAAAATCCGGTAGGTACACGGAGAGAAAAATACCGGAAAAATTACGGAACTTTCACGTATTCGTGGGGTGACCTTGCTTTTAGGAAAAAGTACTGGAGGTACCGTGAAATTGTCCTGAAAGTTTCGTAAAAATTCTTGCTCGTTACGAAAATTTTTACGAAACTTACAGTATTTTTCCCCGAAAACCTAGGTCACCCCACGAATACGTAAAAGTTCCGTAATTTTTCCGGTATTTTTCTTTCTGTGTATTACCTTCAAAACCTGATTTTTATTTTCTCATTAATTTCTGGAACATATTGGACCGATCCATTTTTTCTTGTAATTGTTTAAATGTAGTTATGCATGAACCATCAATTTTTGACTTCTGAACAGAATTTTGTGTTCTAAAAGATGGAGGCGAAATGGAAAAATGATAGGAGTCTATTTAGCTTGAAATAGTAATTTATGCTACAAGGACTGAAAAGTTTTTTTTAAAAATCCGCGCCTTCGGGGCAGATTGTAATAAAATATGTTGCTAAAATGTTACGCGGCCGACCAACCGAGTATTTTTATTTGTCATATGCTTACTTTGTGGATCTTTGAGGCCCATAATGTACACATTTACCCTCTCTTTTTTCCATCAGTATATGATCAAATTTTGTGCGATACATGAGCAAAAAAAGTACTTTCTTGGGAGTAATTATAACGGCTCGCTTTGTAACCGTCACATTCATGAAAAATAGTATTTTTCACGCCTAGGACGGTAAAGGTCAATCTGACGACTGCGGCTTGATAGTCCGAGCCGAAGACGAGGATTATAAAGCGCATGAATCAGAATCACTTTTTTCACCGTGGCTATGATGCTATTTTATGCCATGGTCGCCGAAAACGCGTTTTTATCCGAGCGAAGCAAGGTTAGAAACGCGTTTTACCGGCCGCCATGACATAAAGTACTTTTTCCAGACTGGCTCCTAAAAAACATCATTTTCGAGTTTCCCAGGCCCTGCGTCTCGAAGAATCTTGCTAAAGCCACGCTGTAGGAAACATATCAGTCACTCCTATACGTGCTTGCCGTCAATCTTGCATGTGGGGACGGATGATTTGTGTTCCACGGCTAGGCCTGAAAATAATTGTTTCCGAATGAATGCATTACAATCAGTCCATTTTTATTTTCTTCTGATTCCATTCGGCAATTATGTGGAATGGTCTGAAACGTGAAAATACGATGACAGTGATAGCTCATTTCTTCTTAAAACTAACAAATAAACGGAAAAATTCGTCTCCAAAATTCCTAAGTGTTATTTGATTTATATATTAGTTGATTTGTATAACTTCATACTAATTTTGGCCTCCAGACCAACCAGATCGGTCTAGTAGCTACTGAGGCCATTCATTTACTTACACTATTTTGGGCATATCGCATTTTGCTTTTGGATTACCAATTGCAAATTTAGATTTGAACTCCTTCAGAAATCGATTAATTCCACACTTTTTATCTTGCTAAAACGTTTGACTCCAGAAGCAGAATTGTCCAAGTTCAATTTTCGAATGAAAGAGGCTTCATTCCCGATATCATTTACATTTATGAAATGAGCGGGATTCTTCACATTTCTGCCAATCTGTTTTTTGCGAAGCCCATCACATACTGATTCCTTCGTTGTGAAATTAAAATTCCTATTTAAATATCAAATAATTCCTCTTGAAATATTTGAATATAAGTGGTATAATGTGTAGAATGCTAATTGGACTGTTGAAACAGAATACCACTTTCCTCTTATCTGGCTAGAACCTCCCGTTGCCAAGTTGACCTTCACCTTCGGCTAGCTGGTGCGGAATGGGCTTATGGATTATGGTTCGCTCAAATTGGAATTAAGGCCGAGGAGTTCGGGAAAATCAACTCAACACCAGAATAATATTAGGACAAGTCTATTAAAATGCTATTGAATGTTTTCACACCTTGGTGTTGTCCCGGGGGTTCAGTGCTGTTAACTAAACTTGAGGTAAAGAAGGACTGGTTCAAGTCTGACCGCGATCTACCGAATTTTAGAGCTTCAGAGAAGCTTCAGCCCGTTTGCTTGAAACACCAAGTGTCAGTTTTGGTACCACCAACGATAATGCCTTAATAAACAATTACCTGACGGAAAATTATTGTACTCAAGTCGTACCGTGGGATTGCTTACGAAGGTCCGGTCCCCTTACATACGTGGCATTGCCTCTGATTTCAACCCAGAGCCGTTAAAAATATCTCTAATTCCTCAACGTGAGGAAAATGTCCTCATGTCAGACGAGTAACATATTTCAAGTGCTGAAACTGTTAATTATTACGATCTAGTAAATTCACATTTAATTTATACTTAATGCTGCAGAATAGACCAATGATGTTGAAATTATGGAATCAGGAAAATAAAAAATAACTTTCAAACTAATAGCCACAAAGTGGGCTTAGAGTACATTCGGGCTTCAGCTTATCTGATGGGAGTAGCATGTGTTTATTTTCCATGCTCTTAATTTAAACAATAGTATGGGCTACATGCAAGCCCCATCACTCGCCTCGAAAATATATACACATACAGAAATCTTTAATACGTCAAATCATTATTTTGTTTATTTCAATGAATGAAATTCCAGATCATTTCTGTATTTCCTGAATATAGCAAAAAATGGAGAGAATATTTAAAAATCGCAAAAAAGCAGAAGCTCGTGAAAATGGATGGAATTAATTCAATTCAGGATGCGTAGAGGAATGCAAATAATTATTTCAATCGTGTAACTTATGCAATGGGAAATATTGTAAATAATGGTCAAGATCTAGAAGTATACTGAAGTCAGCTTAACTGTCTCCTTCGATTTTAGGGTTTTCTTCGATTTTAGGAGTGCCGCCAGCTGGTTACAGTTTACGCTGATTGTATTATATGTTTCAGCGAAACTGTTCTGCACTTTTTATTCATTCACCCGATGAAGAATTAGGGATGCGGCTGAAAAGCCTATTCGCTGAAAACAAAATCGAGGAGCTACCTTAGCGCTATCGGGTAGTGGTGCACGTAAAGGCTGAAGAAGGGTCGTCCCCAGCAACTCTGAAGCTTCTGGAACGGCAGAACGAGGGGATGGACTTCGAAGACTGGGTTGTTGTAAAAGGCAGGAAAAGTAAAAGAGCGTCGAGCGCCCACTACGCTACACTGATCGGCGACAAGACGTTGTAGTGCCTCAAAGCCTACAACTGTAAAGTTGCTCGAGAAGAACCGCAAGGATGAAAATCAAAGTAACGAGGAAATCAAGGGTACCCTTTAATAACTCACAGGACGTACGAGATAGTCCAAATTAATTTGCTTCACAGCAAAAGCGTCTCAGCTATCCACGGCAAGATGCTAGCTACGATGCAGACAGCCATAGCTCGCATTCAAGAACCATGGTTAGTGGATGGAGAGGCCTAAAGGGTTAGGGAAAGTTATTCCATGCGAACCCCAAGGAAAACAGGATAAGGGCTTGCGCCCTTATCAAAGGGATAGAAGCGACTTTCCTACCATAACTCAATACCGGTGTCTGGTGGTAGGCAGAATGAAAACCCATCTACAAGGAGACCGAGTCTTGGAGTGCATAATAGGGTCAACTTATTTGCCCTACGATTCCATAGAGCTTTCCCCGACATAAGAATTATGGTCTGAGGTATAATAAGTTCTGAAATTTCGTTCGATTTTAAGACATCAGAGAAATGACGTGACTTTTTCGTCTTTTTCGGTGACAGAACTCGAAAATTTACTTATTCCCCGAAAACGATGCTCGCTGGCCGATTACGTGAAATGTTCCATAATTTTTCTTGAATGATAACTGGCAAAAATACGGCGGAACTCTTGCCTCCTCAGAACTTTAGTTCCGGTGTTCACCATTAAATGGGGAGATGGTAGCGTTATAGGACGCGCTAATATGCAATAGTATATTGTACATCAATAATCAGTAATCAATAATCCCATATTGTACATAGAAGAGGGGAAGTTTTATATATCGAGCACCACCGTCCTTCATACGGTAATCATTTCTACATAGAAGAGGGAATGTTTTTATAGCATTTTTTTGACGTCAAAAGAGTCGGATAGGATTTGAAAATATGATGTTTTTCATGCTATTTTTCAATATGCCTGTAAATGGAACTTCGTGTTTTGCTGCCTGAACAGCGGGGGAAAAATGAACACTTTCTACAGTAGGGTGGAAAGTTGCTCCCAAGGGCGCAAAGTTTTGACTTTCCGAAGGACGGAAAGACTTGTTTAACCTCGTTGGTTCTCCAAGGATCCGCGGACATAACTTTGAATTACTGTGGCTGTGGCAATTCAGTGGGGTGCTGGTCATAAACACTCCCGCTGAACTTTTAACCCTAAAACGTACCCTTAAATACCTCACCGATCCGTTCCTTAGGGGTGCTGGCACTCGCAATCAGGCCGTACATCATGGTGAGAATGTGCAAACGGTGTTCCCATCAATCTACGCCGCATGATAATTTTTATTGTACATATGAAACCTCCAGTTGGCCCGGGAGAATACGAGATTTTTCGCGTGGCTTCTAATCAGTAATTTATTTTTTATTTCCTTTTTCTCCACCATTAGTGAAATCGCGGATTGGCTACGCCTCTCTCTATCTTTCGCAAAAACTGATACATGTCACATGTCATATCATTTGGAAGCGAATAAAATAAGATTTAAAATGTTTATAAATTCGTCGCCGCATATTCATCGAAGTAGGAATTATGGAAATTTATATTTATCCAATTGTTCGCCAGGTTTGTTACATCCATATGACTTTTGTTCCTGGATGTAATTATAACCACAAATTCAATCAAACCCATTATTTGAGTCACGTTATTTAAGGACGTTCTGCCGTTATTTTCTTATTTTTCCTATTTTTCTGAGATTTCTTAAAACCTATCGATCGGATTGGGATACGAAAATATAGCGCTTGTCCGTTACATCATGAGTTATCCTTTCACAAAGTTTCATCCCGATACACCAATTTTGATAACTTTTCACTAAAATTTATTGATTTTTTATTAAATTTTAGTGAAAAGTTACAAAAATTAGTGTATCGGGATGACACTTTATGCAAGAGTCAATCAGAATAACAGGCAAAATAATGAAATAGCAGCAAAACATCCTTAGAAGATCAAGTCATGAGTTTGGAAGCTTTACTACCTTTATTGATCTATCTCTATTATTTCATGAATCATAAATATTTGAACATTAATTTCTGTATTTCATATTGTATTGGGATTAGGTCCAAATGTGACATTATACATATTTCCCAATGAAATATAGGTCTTTATGGAATAGCTGGATGAGATTGAAAAATTTTCAATTTGAAAATGTAGAAATGTGGTAAGTAGGAAATTCAGGGAGCAGGTAAATTTACAAAATCTGTAAATTGATAAATTTAAATGTAATTAATCTATCTCTATTTTTTCACGAATTATAAATATTACAGAATATTGGAATATGGGTGTAAGTGAACAAATAAAACCGAAGACACAGTAAAATACTTTATAAAATATTCTTTATTAGCACGAGGAAGGCACGTCTTAACTGGAGGACCGTTGGCCAGAGACTAAAAACTATATCAAAGGGAAAAACTCTCTCAGGGAACAGAATAAACCGAAAAACAATTTTATGACTCAAAAGGACGCAGTCCTTTGTTGAAATTTCAGCTTATGTTTATGATTAAATCACTCTCCAATTCGGAGTACAACCGATCGTAAATTAGTCCCTTAGTAGAGCTGTTTTCCAGAATATTTAGGATGGAGTCAAGTGATTTTTGTAGGACAATGAAAGAGCTGTACTCAAATATTCCAACACAGAATATACTTTGTATTACACATTATATCAGGATAAGGTCAATTAAACTTTTTTTTGCATTGAACCCTATTAATTTCATAGTTAGTAGTCTATTTGAGTCATGAGTTACGAATTTACCAATCTTTTTCTACAAAATGTGTTTGACATGAAATGACTCAATTGGAAAGACAATTAGAATAAGTAAAATTATGTAATATATGGAATCAGCCCGTACCAGTCGGAAGATGGATGATGGATGAAGCGCCCACAAGACGCTTGTTACTTAAATATTCGTAAATCCGCATGTCAGTTTGTGTTGATTTGCAGAGGCTAATTGTACGATGAGTGTGTTTGGACAATAAGCTGAATAGAAGAAATCGATAAAAAATAGAAAACAGTGTCTCTAGTAATACTGTAAAGTCACAAGCTGAATAAACATGAACCTTGGATGAACCTTTCCTTCCTGTGAATAACCAAGAAGTTTCTCGAATACTGGACTCTGACTGGCTAAAATTGGAATGAAAAAAATAATCTCCCGAATACCCTTCGATCTTCGGACTTCATCGGATATATCCGATAGTTTTGAAGGTGTTAGCGTGCTATAGGTTGCAAAAAAAGTGAGGTAAATATCATCTGGATACATTCAGACAATCATCCAGAGAAACGCAAAACTCTAAAAGGCTAATTTAATAATAATTTGGTAATTGAAATAAAATAGTTTGGGATAAATTTGATAAATAATGAAATAAATCTACTTTAGAGAGCAATTTTTCCAAAGCCACTGATTTCGCAATTACTTTTATATCCCATTATTGTTTTTTGGAATTTGGAGTATCCCATTTTTTGTCAATATTTTGTCATTTTGTATATGTCATACAGAATATTCAATGTAAAATATGTTGACGATGAAAAATATTTGAAAAGCGACCAGTGTCGTATTGCCGGAAATCCCTTTGTAAAAAGTTCAGTGTAACGTTTTTTGAAGCCTCTATTTCCCTAATTAATTGTGTTATTTTAATATATAATGCAATTCCATATATAGATATATCGTACATAGTATAATCGTAATAATATAATATACTCTTATTATATAATAAAAAAGAAGAAAATTAATCAAGTAAGAAAGTATGGAATATCGTATATACAGTGTAGTATTAGTATTTGAATGTAATCAAAATGGATATCAAATTCAGAAGTGAAAATATTAATGAATTATGAAAAACGATGAAACCATTACATTGAGTTTTCTGAAAGAAGATAATCATTTGTTTACATATTTATTATGAAATACGGTTTTACAAGGGCATAGCCCTTGCAAGCAAGGTACGCGCAGATTGTTCGTATTTTTTAAAAATTTCCGAAATAACAATGTTTGAAAGTCTCGAATGCTGCACTGTGATTGGTTGCAGTCCGAGTGTGAAAAATGATCAGCTGTGCAGTTATAATATGCAATTTCCAAAACAGCTGTAACAAGTAAGCGTGATGAACTCAGATCCTCTGGTGCGATAAGCTGAACTTCAACTTTGAGAAATGATTGCTCTCAATGCCTATAAATTTACCACAAAAATAACCGAAAATATCAATTGACTAACAATAGAATTTTCCATAGCCTGTGATTGTAACATTTTCAATGATGGAGTTGGACTTTTTTTTTTGATAAATTCGTTTGCGTGATGCGTGGGTAATCTGAATAATTTTTCCGGAGTGTTATCCTCTTAGTCATAAGGTAGATATCTTATTTATTCAGACCAACAATCATAAATGACGGCAATGGAAAGAAGGAAGAGAGGATGAGGAATAGTTACGAAGAAGATGAGGCTCGTGATTATTCAAAATAGCCGGAAATACAGGCCGTTCGGGTCCCACAGTCCTGACCTTTACGACGATCGACCACGGCAGTGAATATGCGACGCACCATGATTCAGTAGATTTACTTAACTACAATTAACATTCCTTCGTTTAATGGATAATCTTCTATCACAATTGCCCATTAATATGTTCTACCTCATTATTTTTATTTATTTTCTTTCTTGCAAATTCCATAGAAGGAATACGGTTGAAAATTCTCATGTTGCATCACAAGAAGTGACGGAGTCACGGTTTCATTGGAATATACATTAAATGCTGGAAATATTTGTCACAGGTCACAGGGCAGACGAGTGACTTTGACTGTTTATGACCTTAGCAACTCAACACGTGGACCAACTCTTTGGGGCAGACCTCGCACCCTGGCTGAATTAGTTGTCAGTGGACACTTCACCGAATTCTTGAGCAAGCAACATGGGAATATCTACTCAGCGTGAATTATATCGAATCCTTATCTATACTTAAATTGTTAAAATTAAATAATTGAACGAGTTGTTAAAAATTGCAGACGATCATACTTACCTTACCTACATCATTAGCAAATTTTTGATAATGATGGTAAACTCATCAACATATTTGCATCATTGAAGATATTTTGAAAGAGACATTGTATTTGTTTTTAATTAGCAAGTGAACTGATCTACCAACACATAACGTGTACTCGAGGAATGACGTCAATTTTTACAATTGAAAAATTTCTGAATTTCCGACGAAGCAACGTAAGTCCCACGCAAGGGTCAACACCTCGGAAATTCTTCGGTGTCTGTTATTGTTACAATTTCGTTACGCAAACATCGACAAATGTCATTTTTTATAGAGAGAAAATATTGGTATTAGATATATAAAGTTTTCATAAATTTCCCCCTCCATTATGTGATTTTATATCCATATGTTTCAAGGACACAAAGTAATTTCGATTCACAGTTGAAAATTGTTTCATTCGTATCTTATTCTACAACCGTGCTTTTATAGTTTCACTGAAATTATGAGTTAATGGCATTCATTTTGTTCAGGTTTTCATAACAAGAAATGTAGAAAATGATAACTTATAATAATTTTCATCTATTAGTTGTAAGTATAAAAATTTAAAGTGCGTACGTTGTATTGTCAGATATTTATTCCATGCACTGTCATTATTATCTGTAGTGGTTCAAGGTGAACAACGAGGAGACTTATCTATATCGGTCGATGACCTATCGAGCAGATTGTCATCAGAATAGATTTCACCATTATCGATTCATCCATAATCGAAATAGGATTTTTTTTTCTTCTGTAACCAATTAGTCGCCAGTTTGATCTGACTTCACGAAATAAAATGAATACATTCTCATTTCAAATGAACACATGGTACTGCAGGAATCAATTTAAATCCGCCGGTAAGTGATCGATTGATCAATGATGGGAGGTAAATCGATGGAAGAAAAAAATGTGATATATTGACTCGATCGGCTATTCTGATTTATCAACAAACATTTTCCTCTTTGTAGTTGCAGTTTCTACTTTAACTTCTTTCGCTGATGTGAAGTAATTCTTAATGTAGAATGAGCCAAATAAATAAATAAAAAAGCCGGAGTTCACCATCAAGAGGATAGATAAAATTTTAGGGAAACTGCAATCTAAGAAGAGATGTTGAAAATTATGAACGAAGATTATCGAGAATTGTACGAGCTGTAAGCGTGTTAAGTACTTTTTCCACCACAAATATTTTTCCATGTGGGGACCAAAAGCTGACAGCATATAGTATCCGTACATTATTATGTGGATGAAGGAATTGATGAGACCTAGAAGAGTACATTGGCCACCAGGGTAGAATCGCACTCCAATCCACGACGTTAGGGTCATTATTCCGTGGTGCCAGATGTGAAGAAAAGACAATTGACGATTTTTTTTCCGGAGTACGAAGAATATCGTGTCACTCATCTCAATTAGCTTGCAAATGTAGTATAACCATACTGCACGTGCCATCTGTAATGATAAATTTTTCCATATGCAATATACCTCGGAGAATCGGAATCTGATAATCATTTTGCCATGCCATTGAGCAATCATTCCGTATAAATAAATTTATCCCATTTTAAATGGAAAAATAATTTTACCAGAGAACAAGTAGAGAGTATCTAAAATATATAAAAATGTTCAGATTGTAGTTAGAAATCTTCCACTCAATAACAAAATGGTTTTTAATTTATTAAAGCGGTTATAGAGATGTCGATTGATGATACACTGATTACTGCCATTGTATGAACAAACATCGGGTGGATTCACCATTTTTGTCTTGTTCACCAATTTTTCAATTATATAATCTCCTCAGGAATATATATTTACTGTTTTTAATTAAGTAAACTAATAAATATCGTGATATTTCATTTTTGAGTGCCTTTGTTGTGGTGAACAGTAATGATGTTTTTATTCTGAGCGTTGATCATTCTCAGTATATTTAAAAAAATGAAATTGAGGGCATAGATTTTAGTTGATATTGGTGTGATTTCAATATGGAGCGATTCGTCAGCTTGGCGAAATGATTTTAGGCAAATTGATTTTCAAGCGGAGCAGTATTTGGCGAATCTAAGCCGTATGAGAGAAGTGGAAAAATCTTTTTCTAAATAGGAACCGAAGTATTGAATATTTCTTACCCGTAATGCTTTTGGATTGTGAGATCGATCAACTGATTGACATCCAAAGCTGTAATCACCCCACCATCCGCTGACAAGTCCTTCGTAGACTAACACAGCACTCAAGATAACTTGTATAAAATTATAAACTATTAAAAGATTTTTTAAGGAGTATGGCTTTTTGTCACGCATGTATCTAGGCCCAGCGTAAGCACTGAAGTAAACATATGAAGCGATTATAATTAAGACGGTTCCAGGGCCTGTGACCAAAAACCAATCTGCGGTTCGTGGATCTGGAAAATGTAATTTGTAAATTAATTGTTCATTGTATATTTGCTGACTTATATTAATTTGCTCCATATTCGTACCAACTTTATTTTGTAGGTCATTATACCAATCGACTACTCCCGGCATTTTGTATTAAATTTCGGGGGACGCTCAGACGAAAATATCTAAAACAGAAGAACACGTAAAAAAACTATACGATATCAAAACGTTTATCTTAAATATACAAAAGTCAACACATTTTTGATTATGATATTATAGAAACAAATTATTTATATTAGTCAAAAGATGGTAGGTGATGAACGTCTCATTAGCAGCTGTACATTGAGGATAGAACGCTTTTTAAGAAGGGCATCTGTACTTGTGGTGAAGAACAAATACTTGAAATTTTCAGTGAAACTTTAGTCAAGGGGTTTAGTATTCATTCGTATGATGGGGCTTTTTTCAAAACACATGACTCAAAACTTAACAAGGAAATTATATCTTGCTCTCACCATAGCTAAAAAAAGAAACACTTCTATCAAGAAATTGTGGATTTCAAAGATTGTCGTAATTTATTCATGATAAAGGTGTGATTGCTGCAACCTAGTCTAGTTAAATGAATTTACTCACAAGTTGTGTTTTCTCAAATTTAAATGATTTCAATGTAAACATTATTGTCGTCGTCTTGTTGTTAATTCATTGATCATCATTTTTTGGAGAAGTATATCTCTTGACTCGAGTTTTTTATCTTGGTACGAGATAGGGTTTCCTTTCACATTTTTGAGTATGAGTTTCTTCATACAAGTAAAGATGCGCTTCTCAAAAAACTTTTTCTCGTAATAAGAAATTAACAACGGTAATCTTACCAAACTTGTTTGAGGCAGTGATTTTTAAGACATACCTCGTACAATTGGTTAACAATATTAATATAATAGAAAGTCCAACAATATTAATATAATAGAAAGTCCAAAAAGCAAATTGATTATGATGGGAAGTTCTGTATTTTTGTTTAATTTTTCATCATCTGAGGGGATTCTTTCCGAATTTAAGTCGTGAGAGGGAAAATTGCATGCGGCAAATCTGATCCGTTTGATTAAATTTGAACCGAATTGGATGGGAATGATTCGGTTACAAAACCACGGATCTATATCTACATTCTTAAAATATTTGAACACTGATTCTCCGTTGTTACATAAAAACTACTCAACAAAAATTTATGATATAGTAAAGGAAACAGTGCCAGAAAAAGGATTGTTTACAATCGATTCTTTTCTACGTTCGAGAATTAGGTGTAAGACATATTTTGAAATTTGAAGAACGATTCTGTTCTCTTATGCTGTAAATCTTAACTTAACTAACTATTCTTGGCTTTTCGAAATAGAATTTTTCCTTTGTGTTCATAGCTAGTCTCTGGACAAGTCTTCTCTAGTAGGTAAAGACGTGCCTTTCTTCTGTTAAGGTTGTTGTCGCGCGACAGTCTCTGTAAAAAGGTTATCCGCTGTAAAACGGGCCAGTTTAGAACACAATCTTTTAGCGGTATATAGTCTCACTTGATTGATTGCATTGTGTATGGATAGCTAAAGCATAACTATATATTTTCCATATTAACTATTTTCAATTATATAAATTTATGAATTTCCGATAATTATATTCCGTAAACC